ATGGTTTTATTGACAAAAAAGAACCCTTTGAAATATACATTACATTCACAAAGGATTAAATTACACCCTATTATCCATTTTCCATAAAATAAAGATTACTTTGATAAATCACGACTAATGTTATCTTTGGCTGATAAGAACTCTGCTTATTTGTGTGGCTTCTATAAATAGTGTTATGAATATTTTTCTCCCTAAATATAGTCAAGGATACAATCTGCCAGGCATTTTCCTGCAATTTGACAATACCACATCTGTGAACGAAGCAGCGAATGAAAGCTCCATTGTCTGAATATGAAACATGCAGCAGTCTTTTTTGTCAGCTGCTCTGCAGTAATCGATCAAACACCTTTCTGCAGTACCTTGCTCCATCCAGGTTTCCTTACTGCTAAAGCAAGGTACTCAAAATAAACTTGTTTTGTCCAGAGCCACTAGCGTCTGTGGTTCATCCTTCCATTGTATGCAAAGCCTAAAGGGTGACAACTGTAGCACAAGGGGGACGGACCCTCACTTAGGCCTTAATGTGCTTGATGTACTCCAGCTCTACACCAGCTCTGCGTAAAGTGGTGTAGATAGCTGGGCTATCAGGAGAAGACCGTCATGTGACAAGAGGTTCACCCACCTTTTGAGCATGTGGTATCCACCTACATTGGGTTAGTGTGAACATCCCCACTGGAGCCTAGCTGGGCAGCAAACACCCGGTTTAGCACAGCACAGGAATTCATGCTCGCCTTTAAAACACCTTTAAAAAACATTTGCAATAGTAGTTTGATTCTGAAAAACCAAAGTTGGCTTTCTATCGTGCAGCAGAAGGTTGGCGAGACCTGCCCTGCCACAGGAAGGGCACTGCCTCTCCCACCCTTCAGGGCAAATACCCAACTTGAAGTTATATTCGTTTCCCATTTCTTAAAATTCTTTGAAGAAAAAGATTGCTTCAGAGCTCAGCTACTGCTTTGTATGTCACTGGGTGACCCAACGCATCACATATCACTCTGAGCTGCCCACGGGTAAGAACTGGTGTAACAGTTGCAGGGTGAAGTTTAGTTTGCAAAGTGCTCAGTTACAGTGGGGGAAAGGTGTGGAGCTTCTGGAAACCTTTAACAAGTAAATTCAGCATGTGAGGAAGTTCAGTTATTCACCTTCTACTTCCATTGCCAGTTTCTTTTAATCTGCATTTTGAAAATCGTCCAGACTATTCAAACATAATCATAGAATCATAGAATGGTTTGGGTTGGAAGGGACCTTAAAGATCGTCTAGTTCCAACCCCCCTGCCATGGGCAGGGACACCTTCCACTAGACCAGGTTGCTCAAAGCCTCATCCAGCCTGGCCTTGAACACTTCCAGGGCTGGGGCATCCACAGCTTCTCTGGGCAACCTGTTCCAGTGCCTCACCACACTCTCCGGGAAGAACTTCTTTCTCATACCTAATCTAAACCTCCCCACTTTCAATTTAAACCCATTACCCCTTGTCCTGTCGCTACAGGCCCTTGTGAAGAGTCCTCCTCCATTTAACATCAATTTACAGATTCTAACCCTACCATGGCTGTTTTGCTCGCACCATAAGCGAACGTCTCTCTTTCTGCATTTTCCCTAAAATCAGGTGGCAGTGGATTTCAAACCAACCCACACCCACGTCTGTGTTTTGATTCTGACGGGTGTGTTTTACTCATGGAAACATGTCTAACCCCTTCGTTTAATTTTGAAAATTTTATAAGCTTCCCACCCCCTGGGTTGCCTGCAAAGTGACTCAGCAAGGCAAGCAAAGGGATCAAAGAACAGCCAGAGTTTTTTTAATGAATGGAAAAGTTTAGCGGTTCTGAAAGTATTTTCCTCCAACACATATTTCAAAAACTTTAATAAAAATAATTACAGCTGAGTCTATTAGCAGACAAAATGCAGGGCTAGAGTCATAAATCTCAGAGAATAGGGAGGAGCACTCCAAAACGCTGGAAAACAAATGTATTATCACCTTTCCAAACCTCCTTAAGGTTCTCTTTTCCTATACAAGAAAACAAAAAAATCTCTGTGGTTGGGCTGTGTGTTTGCTGTAATTAAGCCAACTTTTAATTTCCATTGCTGCGTGTGTATTTATAAAGAGGGGAGGAGAAAATTGTACACCTAAGAGTGAACACAGAGGCATTGGCACCAGTGTGGATGAACCACCTTGGGTCCAACCCAAATTCAGATCTGTAGCTTGCTGGATATTCTGTGGGTAATAAAGTCCTGGGACCCTGATTCTGATTCAGGGACTCATGTATTGGAAGTCAAAGATAAAGGTCCTTACGTAATAACTGGAGGAAGATCTAGACCTTGGTGTCCTCAGGAGAGCCCTCACCAACATGTGAGGTTGAGGGCCAAACTTCTCCTTCCTTGTTCTAGCTCATGCCTCCCAAGTTTTGCGTGGATTTATGCACAACTGCTAAATTCAGAAGAGAAGAGCTGCCCCATCCCATGCTACACACCAGCCAACGGTTTGGGCGCTCTCCAGGAGGGCAGGAGATGTCAATTCCAAACTCCTTTGGCCCAGAGCCCAGCTCTCCCACTTCCCACACCGGTGCCTTATGCATCAGACAACAACGCAAAAAGAGGCCTGTTGCGCCTGCGTTCTCAGAACTGGCTTGTCCGAGTGACAGATGCTGGGAGCGCTGCCTACTACAGGCACACCAACACCTCCCCTCACCCAGTTTTCCCAGCAGAAAGGAACAGACTCACTCTTTCAAGGCATGGCGTTCCCTGTGAAGTGTCTGAGGCCCAACAGCAGAAGTGCCGACCAGCTCAGCCAGGTGAGCAGCTCTTCATGCACGGTGATGCTCAAGTCGGAGCTGCAGAAACTGCTCTGAATATGGACCCAGGGCAGACACTCATTTACTGCAACGCTTAGGGGACGTCCATCTACCTGAGCTTCACGGTTCCTGGTGTAGAAATCCTGGCAACCTGTAAGATGAAAAGGGTCAGAAAAGCCATGCAAGAAAAGGCAGCTCAAGAATCTAATCCCCTTTTCCTTCCTCCTCTTAGGAAGGCAAGCAAGAAGAAATAACAACATGGGAGACAGAAGTCAGTAAATCAAATGCTTTTATTGACATCCTTTCTCATTGGTGACCTGTTGTCATTTAATTAATTGCACAGACCAAAATTAGTGACAGGCTTTCACTTTTTAAAGTTACAACTTTCAGAGCTTTTGCATTTTTATTAAGAGAAGATAAAGTCACGGCTAAGTCTCTACATGGACTCAAAGACAGGAAGCAACTTCTTACTAATCCTCATGCAAACTACTGACACTGCAGACCGAGGTGGAGTGTAATTTCAGGTAAAAGGTCATTCTCATAGGCATGTTAATCTAATAACAAGCTAATTTATAATCCTTTCACAACTGGTGTAATTTTCATATATTGGATAATAATTATAGGCATATTAAGCAATATTAACATTATTAAATAGCAATGAACAGCCCTCTGAACGTATACTACGGTAATGAAAAATCTGAGTAATTTAAAGTGCCTTACCTAGTAAAAGAGCATAATTTTCCATTAGAGCCTTTCCAAGTCTGGAGTTTTTTAACAGAATAAATCTAACGTTCACATTTACAGAAGAATTTATGCCTGATCCAAGAACTCCAGGGACACTTCCACTTTCAAATCTTTTTCTATTACACCAACAAATTATGCCCATTTGGAAAAGGAGCTATTGCTTTACTGAGATACTACCAAGGAAGCTGCTTTCTGTGCACACTGGATGTGTCTTGTGCAATGAGTTTTACGAGAGACTAAAATGTATTGCTGCTGCTCTTCTCTATTTCTTGGTCTTTTGCAAGCATAAATAAATTGCAGACTTGGCTGGCACTAAGTATATACTTTATATGGGGAATATTATTACTGATAAAAATAAAATATGTAAGTTATTCAATATGAATGACTACTCATTTCCCCCTTGATGTATATAAATAAGCCACATCTAACATGAGTGTAAACTCAGGCAACTGTAATAGCTCTGTGGCACCCATACAACAACAAAAATAGTGAAGTGCTTGCAACTAAAGTTAGCCAAAATCACCCTTTAAAAAAAACCCAAAAAACCCAAATATAAACCCTAATACCAAAACATCCCACATTCCTTTTCCTGTATTTTGTTTCCTTAAGGTTTCTCTGCAACAAGGCTTTCCTAAAAGAAGAATATGTTTAAGGATTTTGCATAAAACATAAGGCCCAAGTGTCTACTTATGTATTTTCCTCCTTCACTGGAAGCAAAGTTCCCCTAAATCGTAACTCTTTCTATAATTAAGGTTTCTACGCAGAGCAGGTTCAGCTTTGCACCAAAGGGGGAAAGAAATGAACCCTTCACTCGTGGGTTTCTAGGCATCAGCCTAGAACAACTACACACCCCCGCTCTCCCACACAACTCCCAGGACAACCTGTGGCTGCCACCGGTGAACTGCACTGTAATTTTTAAGAGCATCACTTCAGACATGTAAACCACAAAAATCTCTTGGTGGATTATTAACTGAATAAATGCTTGTACTAGAGCAGATGGCCTTTTCCTTAAAAAAGCTTAAAAAAAAGGCAAAACAAAAACCCACGTACATGTGAATGAGGAATGGCCACACTGCTGTGCAAACTTTTCCTAACCAGCACTGTTACTGGTTCCAGTCTTAAGAGATCAGCAACTAATACAAGGATTTCAACTGATATAAGGATTCCTACACAGCAACTGCACTAAAACAAAATCCTTCCAGCAAAATAGAATTATAGAAATAACTTGAGTCATCAGGTTCCAGGTTATATACATCCATGTAACTGAAATAATTCTTTTTCTTACAGAAAATACCAGAACTAGCAACAACAGTAATGGATTCCAAAAAAGCACACAAATTTTGCCTCAAAGATTTAATCAACGAGATTTGAAAAAACAGCATTAAATACTCTGAAATGATTTATGAGCTGTAAAAGTGATGTACTTAAGACATTCAAAGTATATCAGTTGTATTAAAATTACAGTTATCAGCGTTTACTGATGATGGGCTGAGAAAAAGAGTGAAAGAACAGGGAAAAGAGCAAATAAAAATATTGATGAGGTCGTGAAAGACACTGGTTCAAACCTCTAGTTGAAAATACTATGTACAGCAAGGAAAAAGCTTTTTTCCCCCCTTTTCAGAGAGATTGCATATTGTCAATGTCCATTTCCATTAGAGGAATACATTAGAATACTTTTTAATCTATATTCTTGTCTGTAGAAGGCATTCAAAGACACAGGGAAGACTAGACTTCTGCCAAGCAGATTAAACTAAACCGCATTCCTACATATGTTAATGATACAGTTAGACCTCAACATTCAAACAGAAAAATGACTCGATGCAACACATACAGAATTATGGATTCCGACAAATCTGGGGGAAGCAAGACTATGAAAGGAGTGCCTGAACTTGATGAGGAGATCTGTGCAGTATGGTTTCTGGATCCTTATATTCATTTGAAGGATCCATCACAGCTGCATATAACTCACTGTAAGCTCTGCAGACCAGTTCTGTTGACTGTTTGATTATCTGCTCTCTGAAAAACAAACCCAAAAACGTTATTTGAAAATTGTAGGGAATATAACTGTACTACATATAAGGAATTAAAGATATAGGCTAAAAGTAGACATTACAAATCAGTGTCAGTTACATTAAAACACTCTTTTACTTCAACTGTGGAAAACAGCTTAAAGTTTTAAAACAACAAGAAGGTTTCTTCATGTCTCTGCATCATACATAGATAAACACAAATATATGATCCTGTTAACCAAGAAATTAGCTTCTTTATTTCTTCAATCCTGAAAAAAATAGAAGGATTTAATTTGCATGCATTAGCTTTTCACCTGCCCTACACTGCATCTTTTAAAAGACTGATAATCTTAGTGATCTACCTTCTACCTCCTGTGGCTTCTTGCTGTCCTTTGTAAATAAATACACACTATTTTTTCATCTACCAGCAAATATATTCTCTTTGCTTTATCTTGACAGCACCTGATTCCATAATTGGACAAAAAGGAAGAGCTGAAAGTGTCACTAGTCAGGGATTTCAAAGTTGCTACAGCCTTTTACCAACAATGCTATGAAGTCTGTGTCCTGTTATTTTTGTGTATCTAAATGAGTTACAAAGCACAGAGACAGTATTCTAAATTTTACTGGAGAGTTTAGCGTTTTTTGAAGAAAATCTAACATTTTTATTTTACATTGCCCACTGAATCGGTTTACTTTAATCACCATGGTGACGTGTTTACAGTTGCAGATACACCTTTATCTATCAGAAGCAGTAGTTAGAACTATTTTACAGCCAAACCCATGGAAGAGGAACATGAGGAGAAGCTGAGGAAGCCAAGGTAACCATGAATCCCGATTCAGTCCTACTGTAATAGCAGCAAAGGAACAAAGACATCAGAACTGCATCCACTAACATCAGGGCTGAATTTGCTAACTGTTGGGAATTGACAAGCTAAACAAATCGCAAAGACCAACTGCATAGAACTTTGTCTTTTCAGGAAATACGAAGAAACGGAAGGTTTGAGAAAAGAGATGAAGAGACAAAACCTGCACTTTATTCTGATGAACAGTATCCATTTTTTCAATATACTCTATCAACTGCCACTATTACTGGATTATTACAATACCTGAAATAAAGATTGGCCTTGTAAGAGCGAATCCAGAAACACCGTTATAAGGGAAATACATTCAAGGTGTTCAGGCAGAACAATTGCCTCTGATCAAAGTCTGGGACCACTAAACTATGGTAACATGACACTCTTTTAAGACTGAACACAAAACTCACATAAAACTAACTGTATTGAACCAGATATATTAAATTAAAAGAAAAAGTTTGTTAAAATATTCCAGAGGACTGAGTAGCATCAAATTAGTCTTTCCATCAAGTAATGTCAGTGTCATTAATCAGTACATTAGGATTTCAGTTGCCATAACAACATGATACATTTTATCACTAACACAAATGGCAGCCCTTTCTAAAAATAGTAATCCCAGCATTCAGTTTCTGTGATCCAACGCAAACGAAAAGAGCTTTAAAGACCCACAGCCACATCAATAAATAGCTTAAAACTTTTTAAATGCACACAGGAGTTCAAAAGACAAGAAGAGCATGCACTGGCAAATGTTGGAAGGAAAGTTCTTCACTGCTGTAAAGCTTAAATGATACTGCCAGTGAGTATATAACACACTGGTCCCTTAGAGAAAGCATGTGGGCTGATTTTGAGAACCAAAGAACTCTTGGGTTCCAGCTCAACCACTGGAACAGCAGATCACAATTATGTGTTTTCAAGGAAGACGACTTCAAAATTGCCATCAAACATCTGCGAAGCTAACTTGAACATCTGAACCTTTCAACGACTACAGCCAGAGATTAACATTATTGTACTGGTGAAATGTTTTGCTTCAGTTTTGTGAAACTTTTGAATTTTGAAGGTTTATTTATTATAGAAAATACTGACTATGAAGACCACAGTTCTACAAGCATGCATCTCTAAGCAGGTATCTTAACTTTGAAAGGATTGCTTGTGTGTACAGCTACACGTTTGAAAGCTAACAAGCTAACGTTTTATTATTTTATTTTTTTACATTCTGAGCAGAACCTGACTTAGGGCACTGAGTTATTGCAGGTTACTAAATTCCTGCATGTTACCTGAGCTGCAGCTATAGTAATCATCCCCACACAGGCTCCCCTCTCACCTCTTAGCTGCCCACTGTTGCAAGATAACATGAATTTGGCTTAAATTGCGTTAACAGAGGTTTAAAAAGCTTATCGGTGGGATACAGCTAAGAGTGCATATATGACCATTTTTTCTTGGTTCATCTGACTGAAGAAATGATTAAGTCAAAGTAATTTCACTGTGCCTGAATCTTTATGATAGCATAAAGTCTACCTCTGAAAAATTGCTTCTGTGTTAGCAGTGAAAAATTGAGGCTTTCAAAATACATTTACTGTTATTATGATTTTTAAATAGACCTACATTAAAAAAAAATACCAAGACCTAAAATACAGCTTTAATAGCTTGACACCTAGGAGCAGAAGTTGCAATGCTTCACTGACATTACTGCTCAATCTACCCTGTTTCATCGGTACTGGAGCAGAACAGCTCATACAACAGGGTCAGTTCTGCTGGCTGAGCTGCAGGCATGGTAACCCTACAGCAGAGAGACCCAGCGAACTACTGAAAAGCACCAACATCCCTCGTGCCAAGCCGTGCACCAGGTATATGGCATGGAACTGGAAGTGTCTGGATGAGGAGAACCTGAGCAACGCCAGTTGGACTAGTTGGCATCATAGGTCCCTTCCAACTGAACTGTTTTATTCTACCCTAATAAATTCTCAACAAGAAATACTTTTCCCTTGACATACGTAATTTTTAATTGCAGGATGCTGTAATACAATCCTCCTGAGGACAGGTACTTGTAATGAGACTCCAAATACTGTTGCATTACATAAAATGTGATGTGCTAGTACAAAAAGGTGATTCTGGAACCTGCATTCTTCACAAAAGTGTGACAAAGAAATATCAAGGAAAGTTCTGATCAGTGCAGCACAAAATTCTTTAAGTACTACAAAATGCCTGCACATGGTTCACATTTAATTGGAAGGAAATTTGTGGCACTTTCCCTAGCCTTAGGGTTCAGCTGTATTCAAAAAACACAAGAGGAGAGATATAGTAAAGTTCTTGCTTCCATAATTCAAAGAGAAATCGCTAAAAAAAAAAAAAACTATTAGGTGAAAAGTAAAGTAATCTCAGCACCACATTCAATGAGACAGAATGCCAAACTTTACAGCAGAAGATAAAGTTGAAATTCCTAGACCTGACAGAACAGTGGGGATAAAAGAAATCTTGAGTGGAGAATTACACATTTCATCCGTCTCTGGAATGCTTACTAATAGTTCTAAAACAATTTACAACTTAGTTGACCAAAAACTGTGGACACAGCGGAACACGTTCAAAATAGATGAATGTAATTCATTTTTATGATGTCCCTTAAACCAAGAGTAACTACTTTGGAAATTTACAGTATTACATATTCCTCACTGCTTGTTCAAAAAGAGGAGAGGCAGGAAAAAACTGAATGGTTCCCTGAAGGACAATGCAACTCTGATCACAGCTGATTACTTGAATTCTCATCATGATCCACTAAAGCCTAATCAAATTCACCTTTCTGATCATTATGCAGGCGTAACAGAAATTCAAAGGTAAGGTACTTACTTCACAGTGGCACTCAGAAGGAAATTCAGCTGGCACATTAAAAGACTATCTGGAGCAGAGAGATAGCGATCAAACTGAGCCTAGGGGTGGGGAGAGCGGGGGAAGAGAATATGAGATCAATGTATTAAGAAATTGCTGTTCTATGAAAACAGGTAAAAACCATAGAACTCTGAAAACTGATTACATTAAAATGGTACCTTCTTATTTGATAAAATTTTCTCTTTTTATATATTTAAGATATAGCCTAACATAATACACAAATATTTAAGTTAGAACTTAATAGTTCAAAACAAATGTCTAACTTCAGCACCTCTGTCAGTAAGATTTTAAGTTTTGGACCCCAAGAAGTACGGGTGGAGGGACAAATAATGAGAATCCATCTTCCATAAATACCCATCTACATGCAGCTGGTGCACATAGGCATGCACCACTGAAGACCAGACCTAATCTATTCAGTGCAGAGGGAATACAGTACCCTCCAGACAGAAATCTAGTCTGTCCAACTTAGACATGTTGCACATTTCTTTTTACATGTTTCTTTTTATTTTTTGGTAGGGAGTCACTGCATAATAATCTAATGAATACTTATACTGGGGAAAAAACAGCGCAAAGGACCTAAGTTCAGGCTCCTCAAACAGCTTTGAAGTCTACCTTTCCGCTGTATAATATAGTGGAAAAAAAAAAAAGTGGTGCTTTGATTCTAATAGTTTGGAGAGGAAAACACTAAGAAAGAACATCACGGCTATCTTCAACTATCTATCAGAGAGGTTGTGGATGCCCCATCCCTGGGAGTGTTCAAGGCCAGGCTGGACGAGGCTTTGAGCAACCTGGTCTAGTGGAAGGTGTCCCTGCCCACGGCAGGGGGGTTGGAACTGGATGGTCTTTAAGGTCCCTCCCAACCCAAACCATCCTGTGATTCTATGATCAAACAGGTGACTGTAGAGAAGATGGATCCAGGTCTTCTCACAAGTGAAAACATGAGGAATACGGGACATATACTACACTAAGGAAAATTCTGATTAGATAGTAAGAGGAAAAATTCTCAGCAGGAGTGATATCAAACACTGAACAGGTTACCCAGAAAAGCTGTATAATCACCATCACTCACTCAGGGGAGGCCCTAAGCAGCTTTATCTAATAATGGCAACCTTCGTAAACACTGGACAAATCTTCTCAAGTTGGTACACCCTTGGCACAAATTACTAATGAGGTCACCCACATTTCTCACAAATTAAGTTTTTGGGGTTATCTGCCCTCACTTGGAAAGCAAGGGAGCTTTAGCTGAGAGTTATGGACTTTGCTACAACAGCATTTGCAAGCACGTATCAAAAACTTAAAACTGGGACCTGGAAAACTTTCAGGTTAAGTTGGGAGGCAAGTACTCCATCCACGTGGTTTAAATTCTGGGAAGCCAACACATTAGGCTGATAGATGGGATTTATGGTTTATGTGGGTGTGCTTCCAGCATACTAGGTTCCATACTTGTGTTCACTCAAGCAGACATTAAATAATGAAGAAAATAAAACAGTTGGATTCTTTTCTAACTATTCAAGTGAAATTATTATGTACCACTATCAGTAGCAGTTACATACGTATAATTTAGAGATGGTCCCCAAGCTGCAGTCTTTAAATTCCTCGTTGGTCTCCAAGACCACGATAAATAGAAGATACTTAAATGCAAAATTTATAAAGACTGCTAGGAGTGCATGCTGATCTGAGTAAACCACTGAGTTCTTTGTTCCAGAGCTCTCTGTTCATCCAACCAGCTTGGGAATCGCTGGTTTATAACTTGAACAGAGGAAAACAGGCTACGCTGACACTATTAGGCTGGATTCAACATACGTTAAAACAATAATCATCTAAAAAAATTAAAAATTCTTTTAAAAAGATCTTGTTTTTTGGGGGGGGAGGGGTGTATACTTCTGGATGAGTGGGCCTTATTTACAATTACATTATCACAAAGATAAACTTGGCTAAGCAAGAACAGTGTAGATCATATATTATTGCCTACTGAACTGTGATATTGCTATCTCTATGCAAAATAGCCTTCACACACTCTAAGAAAAAACATCAGCTGATAATTTGATAATTTGTTTTAAAATATGTTGTAGCTTTCAACTTAAAAAAAAAAACAAAACACCAAAAAAACACCCAACTGTGATATATGCCCAGCACCTCACTTCTGAGTTTAGCTGAACTATTTGCATAAAATTAAAGCCTTAGGACTAAAATTATAAATGATAGAAGAACCTGTATTTCAAAGCATACAGGCAAAAAAAGAAACTTTGGTGATTAAAACTAATTAGAGCTAAGTATTTGCTTTTAGCAATTTAAGATGACTCCTGGGATAGCATTCTTGTAAGTAAAGCTCTGTTTCTCAAGGCTTAGAAACAAATATTCTATTACTACCCATTCATAAATAATTTATGTATTTACTACTTCAAGTGGTCAAATTACTATAAATGAAGAAAGTATTCCCAGATATGTAATTCAGACATTCTTAAAGACTATGACTGGTTAGATTAAATCTACTACATCACATAATTAACAGCATTCCTTCTCATGTCACAGCATCACCACCATAAAATGAAATTGTAAAATTCTTACCATTGCAACCTTCAGAGACACGGAATCCATACTTGGCAAATGTGAAAGAGGACCCTAAGAATCAGTAGTCAAAGTTGGGGGCAAAGGTTATATTAGCATGTGGAAAAAGGTAAGAAATAACACACTCTACAATCAGTTCAGTACTGAATTATTTGATCCTGCTGCAGGATCTTAAATGACTGGAAACTGAACCACCATATCAACACTGAAATCCTGTAACAGTTCATTTGTATTCCACCACTCACTTATATTAAAAACTCAGAATACTGAGTTCTTAATATGTCCTTTCAAGTCCTTTCCTTCCTTCTTCACCATTAAATGATAAGCCCCCCATAAAAGCCTTCCACAAGTTGTAGGATAAAAACTGAACTGCAAACTGGGCACATCCCCTTGGTGCTCCAGAAGGACAACTTCACTCTATTCATCTGTTCTGGGACCATGCAGAAGTCAAGCCTGCCTCCCAGTAAATCTTCTGTGCTGGTATGGCATTACAATACCTACATGCTGCCTAATGCCCTCACAAATCCTGTGACAGTGTCACCTCTGACAGACAGACAGATGGACAGATATAAATGAAAATTGCTACATTTCATTAACAATCTGCACTGGATAATTTGGAATTCGTTTTAGAACAGGAATTCTTATTTAATCCTCATAAATAGCAAACCAAGCTGAATCATTAATCAGTTTATTTATACATTTATTTATTCATCTTTATACTGTTGAGCTTAAGCACTTTGTGCAAAATCACTGGCTGAAGAAAACAACACAGAGTTCTGCTTTCTCCAGAAAACATTGTTCTTCAGCTTCACAAAAGATGGCCAAAGGACACGGGCCCAGCTAAAGGGAAGAGGGGCTGTATCAACACCTATCACAGAACAACTGTGGCTCAAAGGAAAGGAAAGAGAGTGAGCTCCAAATTCCAGTTTTCAGCTCACTAAGAAATCTCAACTCTTTCCTTTTAGAATCTCAATGTCTTGGTGCCAGAATAGCTACAGCAATGAATAAGGGCAAAAGAGGAAATAATTTCAAATTACTACTGAACTCATCTACCAATTTTTCACAGAACAAACAAAGCAGTAATTACCTAATGCATGCAGGGTACCTGTCTTCCCCATGCATGGTGCTTCCATGCGATGGAAGAAACCGGAATGTTACATACACCGCAGGTGCAGTATGTTCCAGGTGTCATGGAAGTGACATTCACACTCAATATTTGTGTTTTAAAGACAGCTTGACTCTGACACTTTCTGAGGTGTACTAAATGACCTATACAGTTATTCTGAGAATGCACAGGATGTCTGTGGTGTACAGAGCCTGCTGATGCAACACAGATAAGCTGCACAGGACTGCTGCACACCAAACCTGCTAGGCTTGCTGAACATGCCATGTCGGGGAAATCTGTAGCTGCAAGGTGCCTCTGTCTAAGAGTCCCAGTCCCGTGTGAAAAATCAATAGATATCACTGAGCTTCTGCTTTCACGGGAAGCTTAATTTGCAAAAATACTAGGGCCAAAATTCTTCTAGGTGGCAAATATGCTGTACCTCCTCAACATGTACGTTACGTAAGCTTACCTGTTCCGTTTTGTGTTGCTGCAGAGAGTTGTATATGTAACTTAGACCAGCTCTTGTTAGCACGTAGGAAGCTTGTTCATTTATGAGTGTATCTAAATGAGCTTCAATCTGAAATTTTAAGCATAAGGTATTTATAAAATGTGCATTAGAATATTAATTAGAACAAGCTCCGGGGTTAAAAGGTCTAGAAACAGAAATACGAAGAAAAAAAACCACAAGTGAGAAGGAGAGTGATCCACAAAGAAAAAACACAAATACATACAGCACAGTTAACCTTATCCATCTGCATCCTCCGTATTACAAGGAGCCAATCATAAAAACACAGATAATTCTTTTATGTCTGACTAACAGAACAACCTGATTTTTTTCATATTTCTAAATTCAACAGCACCAAAAATTAAGAACACCAAAACTTTAATCTAAAATATTGGTATATCATGGTATTTTGCTATAATTCTTTGAAAACATGATAAAAATCATGCCAACTCTGATCAAAAATATTGGCAATAGCACGGCAGATTTATAATAAACAAGAGAAAGAGACAGTTTCACAAGGAACACATAACTGAAACGAAATTGTAATCAGTAATGACTTTAAATTCAATACTGATAAACATGTATTTGAAAAAAGCTAACTGAAAGAACAATAGACAATGAAATTACAGCTATCAATTTTGCTTTAATTATCTTCATATGAAAAAAAGTCATAAAGGTGGTTTACACTCTTAGTAGAATCTTGATGCCTTGGTTTGCAAGGAAACCTAATGAATAAATCTAGTCACAGCAGCACCCATATATTTTTTTTTTTTAGTTTGAGTAGTCTTGGAAAGATATTTGGGTATATATACATTATTACTTCATTTTCACAAACAACTACCACACATTTCATTTATTTTTCTTCCAATCCTAAAGAACAGCAACAATTAATATTATATCACACTTTAACAGAATGTTAGACTTCCATGTCTGATATTTTAAGAGTTCACCTTTTTACTTCCTAAAATTGTTTAGAAAAAGTGCACTTTTTAAATCAGGAGGGAAATCTTAATATTTCATTTGGAAATTTTAACTTAGTTCTTTTTCTTTATGAAAAATGTTTCTCTTCTTAAATTGCCATCCTTCCACTCTAATAACCTACTTATGTATAATCTTAATTTTTTTTTCAGTCTGTTCCTGTATTTGTAAAACGTTTGAAGAAAGTAAATGGTATTAAATGCATAACCTTCAGTTCTACTGCTTATCTGAAGAATAAATAATTGCAATGTTTACTGTGAAAAAGAAACTCTGATAATGGAAATTAGAAATGCCCCAGACAGTTTGGTGGGGTTGTCTGTTTGTTTGTTTCAGAGCTAAAAGGTGCTAGAAATTCTAATTAGGAGTAGAAAGTGAAAAATGGCTCACAGCCAATCCTTACTGATGCCTTCAAATAAAAAGTTGTGACTTTTTTCCAAGCCCCCCAGCTCCAATAGCTCTCCTGAGATATACTGCAGAGATGTTCATGTAGCAAAACCATAAATGGGCAGTGCCCAAGTTTCCCAAATCAATGGTTTATAAACTATATTTCCATTTCAAAACGGCACCAAATATGATCTACTACCCTGACACGTTAGGTGAAATACACAAATGAAAAAAGAAAGGCAGACAGGAAGACTGAAGCACTACCTTCAGCCAGAAAGCATTCTAATATAAACCAGATGGTATAAACTATATGATGAAATGCAGTTTGCCATTTGACTGTTAAGAGCTTTCAACTTCCACTTGCTTCTTCTCGCACAGTTTGCAGATAAATATTAGAATTATTAGCATAATTAAAATGTTCACTGATATGGGTTTCTCTGGAACTAAACCAAACCAAACCAAATCTTCTAATAATTTTTTTGTCTCTTTGAAATGAAAGCTGCTGCGGTACTGTAAGCTCCCATACATGCTGTTTGCTTGTGGTCTCTGATAAGAATCCCTCTTATCCCATTTTCCCGATTTAGAATTGACCCAAAGACAACATTATCAAAGATAAATATGTTCACATCACAACTTAGAGTGTACAAAAGTCAGCAATAAGTTCATCTACTTTTGGGGCTGTTAAAGCTTACCTGACACTGTAACATTTCCAGACGTTTGTCAGTGAATTCAAAGAGAGCCAAAGTAGTCTTCATCATATAAAGCGAATTTACCATGTATGTTGCCATATCAGCTGTGCCCAAATTACTAGCAGACATAGTACACATCTGTAACAATGGATCTAGTACACAAGACAGAACCTAAAATAGCAAACACAGAGAAAAGAGGGAGGGAAGGGAAGAAATCATGTCATACGAGGCTTCTAAGCTCACTCTGTCTCTATCACGTATTTATTCCCCAAAGCTGAAAAAAGAGAAATGAGAGTTTCCAACTGTGAAAGCATTTTTTTACTGGATTTGTCAGCAGGTGATCAGCTACCACAGTGATGGGAAAAGTATAAAAACCTGAGAACAGATTCTAACCTAGCAGGAGGAAGAGTAACTCAGATTAGATAATTGGTAATTGTGCAATCTTGAAGGGGTATTTACTTAATGGAGTACTAATTGGATAACAGAATTTAGATACTGCGTTAAGAGTAGTACTCCATACTGTACTGTAATTATCCACTTTATGTTAGTCACCCTCTTATTCACATTACAAACTTGGGTTTGGTAGAGAGCACCAAAATAGGACCAGACAAAAAGATTAAAGTTTCACCTATCTTTTGTGTACTGAGACTAACTTACACATACTTTTTTCCCCTCCTCCTCTCCAGAACAGTCAAACATGCTTATACCTGCACAAAGTCAGCTTGACGGGCATCCAGTGGAACAACAGATGAGTCGTGAGATGCCAGAACCTCCCGCAGCAAGTTAAGTGTCTGATTTAGTGCAGAGCTTGGGCCAAGATCAGGAGGTGGGAGTTCAACCTGAAGAGCAAGATTATCTGTTTGTGGTAGTGGGGTTTAAGTTCATTTACAGCAAACATCATCCAGTCTGTTAGCACAAATGCAACCAGCCAATAATAAAATTGGATCAATTCATGAAGAGAACTTTAATTTGACACTGGGTAAACCTAACATGTTTCAGACAATAGTTGCCTGCAACTTTCAGCATAACCATCCCATTCAGTGACAAAGAAAACTAAATTTCTCCTTTGAGTTAGATTATGCGTATTTTATAATCTAGAGAAACCCAAACACTACCCTTTTTCTTTGTAAAAAAACCAAAATATATATATATATATTTGCTAGATCAGATGCCAAAGAATAGCCACATTGTTGGCACTTTGAGCAGAACACGCAGAATCAACACTGCAGAATCCAGGGCAGGCAGATATTTGGGCCACATTGCAGCAGCTGAATGAAGTCGTATTGACAAGGCCACAGAGTCTCTATCATGCTGAGTACGAGAGCTGCAGTCACAGATACAACAGTCTTAATCCCTAGCAAGTTTGTACCTTAACTTACCAGTACACGGATGAACTGTGCACAAGCTAACTCAAGTAGACCTACAGAAACAGCAAGAACTTAGATGCAGGCCTACCTCAAAGATGAGAAGTAGGAATTGCAGATGTTTAGAAAAACAGAAAAAAATTTTGTAAATCATATTAAAAACATGCTTTCTGAGTCAAAGTGTGAAAAGCACCTGAAATGGACTGAAATGCCATGCTGCTTTTAACACAGGCTCACATATTTTAGCCCTTCTTTGTAACAGGAAAGACCCACTAAACACTTCATTAAACGTTTATATAATATAAAATCTAACACATCTCTTTTTCCCAACACGCATTCCTCAGTCTTCACTCCAAATGGCATCTTCTTGTCTTCAGTGCCACCTCAAACCAGCTTCCTGCTGCCTTCAGGCCCTTACTACAACCCAGGCTGCTGGCCTTGTCCCTCCTGCCAATGAACCTCTTCCCACCTTCCTGTGTCCTGCCTATCCAAGGGCAAACAGAGATCTGGCTGGACCATGTGGGAGTAAGGAGATCCCAAACAGTACAGAAGCTAACTCTTCAAGGCATGACCTCTTTCCGGAAGGATGTAGGGAGAAGTTTGGGCGGGACTGGCCTGTGCGTCTCACTCACGTGCTCGGGCACTGCGAGTCAGAGTGCCCATGCAATGCTCTTCAGGCTCCGGCTCAACAAAGAAATCAAGACAGAGAGCATAACTAGCATTTTCAGAGAGGGCCATTCTGGAAACTCTCCCACTCTGGAGCCAGGCCTTTCGAAACACCTGAGACAGTGTATATGTCCCCACACTTTTATCAAGACAGATCAAACGAAAACTTCTTTGCATCCTTCTGAATACAAAATATTCTTCTATTCTCACTTTCCGAAAGATAATATACTGAATTCGAGAACTAATGAAAAACCAAATCTAACAGGTTCAGAGAACAGTTGTTCAGCCTGAACAGTCTTGAAAGCATAACACAAATATTCTAGCAATGAAGTAACAAAAATTCAGTGCTGATTAGTAGTACATTTCACTGAAATTTACAGCACTGAGTGACTTTCTTCTCGTTTATTCTTGTTATTATTAGGGGTATTGATTGTGCCCTGAACACACTGTTCTCAGACCTGAACTGGACCGTGTTCAGGGATATTTTGGCATTAATTTGAAACAGGGGTTTGATGGAGTTTTCCCTTCCAACAAACATATAGATAGATCTATGGCAAAGAATTTCAGGCTTCTCTGCAGAAAATTTTTGTCTCCTGAAGTAGCTAATGGTTAGAAACTTCTAAATTAACATCATCTTTTATTTAATCTGTTCTTCTGAAGTCCACTGTCTTCTGAACAGTAGCAAGGAACAACATTATGGAATAAGAAAATACAGCAAGGAAAAAAGTTTGAGATCATTAGATTCTATTGGGGTTAGTGAGGAATCCCTGACTACTACAATAGAGACTGAATTATCAGTAAGTGGAAAGAAAATTAAAGCAGTGCTATACTCATTTTGAAAATGCTTTTTGCACATGAATATAACTTGGGGTTTTTTTCAAAAATTTAAATGAAAAAATTTAAACCAGACATATCTAATTTACAGAGGAACCTACCAATTTCAATTCAAAAGAGCTAAACTGTTATTCTAATTAAAAAAAAAAAAATGATGCCCTGAATGTTTTACAGGCACTAGAAGATTATTATAGATGATCCTACTTCCAGAAAAATATATTTGTAATGCATGTTGAATTCTGCTTTTGAAGTACCTGCTTCAGGTGAAAGCCAGACAGGAGCTAAGTAAGGTAGAAGCTGTGGATGCCCCATCCCTGGGAGTGTTCAAGGCCAGGCTGGATGAGGCTTTGAGCAACCTGGTCGAGTGGAAGGTGTCCCTGCCCGTGGCAGGGGGGTTGGAACTAGGTGAGGAGATTTAAGGTCCCTTCAACCTAAACCATTCCATGATTCTATGACTCATTTAAAGTTCTGCAGATCAATCATCAGGAGTTACTAAGCCAGTAATCTTCCTCCAAATATACATTCCAGAGCAGGTTTCTCTGTCTATGACAGCAAGTAGCTCAAAGGATGCCTTGAAGCACAAAAATCTTGTCCAAGAACAAGTACAGGGTGGGTGGAGAATG